GTTTCTGGAAGAGATTAGTATTTGAATCACTGGACTCAGTAGATTGCCTTTCCAAATGGTGGTCATCATCCAATCCATTGAGGGTCTGAATAGTACAAGAGGTGAAAGAAGAAGGAATTCACCTTTTTTTTTCCTGCCTCAAAAATTGAGCTGGTCATCTCATCTTCTCCAGCCTTTACACTGGGATTTACATAATAAACTCCCCGGTTCTCAGGCTGTTAGACTTGGACTGAATAATACCACTGGCTTTCCCGGGTATCTAGCTTGCCAATGGCAGACCGTGGGACTTCTCAGCCTCACTGGCATGAGCCAATTCCTCATAATGAATCTACATCTACGTGTGTGTGTGTACGTGTGTGTGTGTGTGTGTGTATGCACATATATACTGGTTCTGTTTCTCTGGAGAACCCTGACTAGAGAAATTTAAAGTGGTGATTAAAGTTAAGTGAGGTTATATGGGTGGGCCCTTATCCTATAGGAGTGGTGTCTTTAAAAGACAGAGACACACCAGGGAGGCACCCACACGAAGGAAAGACCATGTGAAGACACAGCAAGAAGGCAGCCATCTGCAAGCCAATGCGAGAGGCTTCAGGAGAAACCAACCCTACCAGTATCTTAATCTTGGACTTCCAACCTCTAGAACTGTGAGAAAATAAATTTCTATTGTTTAAACTACCCAGTCTGCAGTTTTATTATGAGTTCTAGCAAACTGATACAGGAGCTTTCTCAGTGTTCCTCGTGTTTTCCTTATTCCTGGAAAGACGTGTTGTCTTCCTGAGAAATTTAACCCATCCTTTAAGGCTAACTCAATTGTCACCTCTTCTGTGAAACTTTTCCAAGTTCTCTGTGTTCCCGTATTTTGACATTTTCTTTTATAGCACTTTTAATATTGTGTCAGTGCCTGTCTCTTGTACAAGACTGTGAATCCTTTAAGAAGATCAGCCATACAAAGTTCATATTTGAATTCCCAATACCGAGTTTAAATGCTTGTTGGATGAATGGATGAATGGTATATGAATGGATGAATGAATGAGTATAGGAGATGCAATTTCCCCTTAAGATGCCGTAATCCCTGCTGCCCTCTGGTAGCTATTTATTCTACAACACTGTATCTTAGGCAGTTCATGGACTCTTCCAGGTAACTTGTTTTCCAATTTATGAAAAACTCCCCCCTCATATTTTGGTATTACCACAATCTACTCTTCTTGTTACATCATCCATCAACTTCTGATCATCCTCCTCATTTATTGAGAACTTTTGTACCAAGACCCCAGTCTTCACTACCCTAACATCAGTGACTTCCAATGACATATAGATCATCCTTCTCAAAAACAGATTCAAAATTTCTTCCTTAGCCCTAACATGTTATCTACATCTTACTTCAGGAACTCATTACTTGGCCACACCCAGACTTCATCATCACAAAAAAGATTTTCGTATCTGGATATTTTGGCTCTGTAGTAAGTTGAATAATGACCCCCAAAGATGTCCACATTCTAATACCCAGAACCTGAGACCATGTTACCTTTTATGGCAAAAGAACCTTTGCAGATGTGATTAACTTAAGTATCTTGAGATCAGAAGATAACCTTGGGTTATCTGGGAGGGCTCAATATAATCAGAAGGGTCTTTATAAGAAACAGGCAGAAGGGTCAGAGTGAGAGAAGTGACAACAGAAGCAGAAGTCAATGTAATGCGAGGCCATGAGAATCAGAAGGCAGGCAGCCTCTCAAAGCTGGAAAGGGCAAGAAAGCAGGTTCTCCCTCAGAGCCTCCAGAAAGAACACATCTCTGCCAACCGGGTTTAGATTTATGACTTTTAGAACTGTGCGAGAAAAAACCTATGTTGCTGTACCCACTAAGTTTATGGTAATTTGATAGAGCAACAGAAGGAAAGCACCACAGTTTCCAACAGACCAATCTCTAGCCACAGGCTTTTGTTCTTCTGGCTCACTCAGTCTCTTTCAGTACAACTAACCCTATCCTCACAACTGATGTTCTCTCTGTGGCTACATTTCCTTTCCTAGACACATAGACATGATGATTATAATGCTAACATCTCTCTTCTCAAGACATCAAGGTCCTAACCTGAGCTAGGTCCTCAGTCTCTCTTTATTCTTTATATGACCTTCAGGAGCGCCTTCTTTTTCTCAGAGCAATAGTTCTAAACCAAGTCACCTGCCCCATCACTACTTCTCTCTTTACTTTTTTTTTTTTTAAAGATTTTATTTATTTATATGACAGAGAGAGACAGCGAGAACAGGAACACAAGCAGGGGGAGTGGGAGAGAGAGAAGCAGGTCTCCCGCTGAGCAGGGAGCCCGATGTGGGACTCGATCCCAGGACCCTGGGATCATGACCTGAGCTGAAGGCAGACGCTTAACAACTGAGCCACCCAGGCGCCCTACTTCTCTCTTTAGTAAGTTACCTTGACTTCTATTTTTGAGATAAAACTGAGGTGCAGCATGAGCTGCCTCCAGCATGCCCCCTTGCTGCAGTCCCCCCAGCTTGCACTGTCCCTGCTTATTTCCCTCTGCTGCCTCTGCCTTACAGACCTTCCCTCTCTCTTCCCTTTGCTCTCTCTGTGCAAGTTGATTAAGTTTTGACATATATATAGACACATGAAACCACCACCACAGTAATAACTAATATATCTGTCACCTTCAAAACTTTCATCCTCCATTCACCTAAAATAACTTACTTACTTCTTTACCTTTTCCCAACGTTTTCCAACTTTCTATGAAGACTTTATTGACAGCACCCAATTCCCTGGTTGACCACCCTTCCTTCGCGTTCCCATTTTATTATACATACTTCTACTGCAACTGTCATACCACACATGATAATGTTTTGTTACATTGATCTATGTGTCTTTCTCCTTAACTAGACTGAGAGTCCCTTGAGGTGAATTACTGTGTATTATTTGTCTTGTTATCTCCAAGTACTTTGAGCACTTGCCTGTAATGTTTTAAGAAATGGTAAGAAGGAAAGTAGAAAGGACCTAGTGAGATGGTGAGTGATGTGGCCAGACAGCAAGCCTCCTCCCACCCCATATACACACCGTCACCACCACCAAACATCAGTCGTGCCTCTCGCCTCCTCCTTGTGATAAATCTGTTTGGAGACTAAGGCTGGTCCCAGATCTCTAGGCAGAAACTCATTCCAGTCAAAATGACAAGTGTGCTGGCATGTTCATCTGAGAGTCCTATTTCATCAAATCCGCTTCAGAATCAGGAAGGCACCCTTGGCTACCTCCGTACTCCAGACCATCTGGTCAGGTGGCACAGCGCCCACTTACAAGGTCAGTTTCTTACTGCCCTAAACACTCCAGTTTATGCTGTAAACTTTCTCTCTGACCTATCACAGGAAAATCTTCAAAATCACATTAGTCTCTTTCTCATCCACTTCTTTCAGTTCTTGGCTGAGTGGCAGGGATATTTCTCCAGAGCATCATTGTGATCTAACTGTCTCTCTAACTGAGGACAATGAAATGGTCTGGGAGGACAAAGAGGGCAGCACCCACTTCTTATATTCCTTTTTTGTGGAATGGAGAGCAGCAGTGAAGTGGTCTCTGCCATGGAAACAGTGGACCACGTTCTGGGTTCTCAAGGATGTGTCCAGTCAGCTTCGTGGACATTCTGATCCTAAATCAAACTGTTTGTATTAGAATTGACAGGCATTAACTATGCTTCACATCTAAATGATGGTTCCTTTTGTATTCAAAAGAAATCGTTGCCACAACAGTAGAAATGAGAGAAGCCACAATATGTTTGCTTCTTGTTGGCACATTTTTGGTTGGAGTTTGCCTGCAGAGTCCCCTAACATCTGGGAACTAATGCTATAATGATGAAGCCTGCTAACATCATAGAGAAAGCTGAAGATGAGCAATCATAAATAACTATACAAATGATATGCATCCTGTGCCAAAATAAAAAGGATAACCACATTGCAGGCAGAGCTCCTAGGGACCAAGATGGGGAAGAAACCTGCCTTCACATGACACCAACACATTCTTACACATGGTCCGCTCTACTGTCAGGCATTCAATCTACCTGTAGGTAATTCTGTCCGGGTAGATTTCAAAGCAAATATGTTTGAGGATTGTCTGAAAACGCATCTCTACCTCTGCCTTCTTTTCCTATACATTTGGGAAAAAGGGGGAAGACGACATGGAGGGGGTTAGAAACCAACTCTCACCCTTGAAGATTCAACATAAAGGCTACCTTCTCTGTGAGGTTCCCTCTAAACCACTGCAACCCCCAGTGACCTGTCCTTCCCCTGAATACCTATAAGATTTTGCATTTTACTATATATACCATACCGACTTGCATTATTAGGTATCCATTCATGATTCAGGAACTTGTCTCCCCAATAGGCTGCCAGGTCCTTGAGGACAAGGACTGCTCTATTCGTCCACAGTACCTATTCACAGTGATTGAATACAGCAGATGCTCAAAACATCTGATTGCTTGGGTAATGCCACCAGCAAATAACCCCCAAGTCACAAATATGATTTTGTTGCACAGTATATGAAATTTGAGGAATAAATCTCTCTGTATTAAGATTGTACGCCTCGTGTTCTGCAATTCCTGAGAACAAGGTACGTGAGCTATGTATTGGGGATTGCACGGGGGCGCCGGAGGAAGCGGGGTAAATTGTTAAAATGTATCGGGCCAATGAAAAAAATGCCCACATGGGATTCAAACAAACTGGATTACAGAGGGTTTGCCTGAGCAGTAAGAAATGTTGGACGACTCCATTTAATAATTAAAGCTAGAAGTCTCAGTCCTCGAGCGTTACTGCCGGCACGGCCGCTCTCTGCTCCACACCCCTGTGGGAACTTCGCCCCACCGTTGAGCACGGGTTCTGCAAGCCGAGTTTGGGAGACCACTTCCCGCTGGTGCTGTCACGGCTGTTCCTCGCCACCAGGGGGAGCAGCGCGCAGCGCAGCGCCGCGCCTCAGGCCGCGCGGCCGCTCTCCCAACATGCCCCGTTCCGCCGCCGTCGACCCGGAAGTCGTCCCCGGCGGCCGCCGGCCGGCAGCCGTGACAAAAGCCGGGCTGCTGGTGGCAGTCGCCCGGGGACCCCGGCCCGGCGGAGGGTTCCTCCGAGGGCGGCGGCCAAGACACCGTTGTGTCCCCCGCACATCGGGACTCGGTCTGGGCGCGCCCCCCAGCGGTGTAGGACCCGGTGTTCGGCGTCTGTAAGTGTTGGGTGCGGGGCGCCGTAGGCCCTGCCCCGCCCTCCCCAGGCAGCGCGGCGGCTCTGCGACCTCTGCTTTATAAAGGCTGCGGAATCTCCGCTGGTCGGGCTGGCGCGAGGGGGAGAAGCAGTACCGCCGCTGTGGCTTTGCAGTGCCTGTAGGACGCCGAGGGCCCAGAGCCCCGGCCGGGGCCCTGAATAGGGCACGCCACGTAGCCTTGTCTCCGTACGCAGTTAACGTCCCATTCCCGAGCTCAAGTGAAGTAGAAGGAGGGTGATCGATCGTCTGAGTAGCCATCTGCCCCTTTTAGCCATGAACGCAGAGACAGTGTCCTCGTTACAAGAGGCTCCAGCTGAGTCCAGCTGGAACCTCAGTAACCTGCTGAGTAGCCGGAAGCTGATGGCTGTGGGGATCGTGCTCGGCTGGCTCCTGGTCATCCACTTTCTGGTCAACGTGTGGCTCCTGTGCCTTCTGTCTGCATTGCTGGCGGTGCTGGGAGGATGGCTGGGCTCAAACGCCGTTGTGGGGGCTTCAGGTCGACTGCACCTGGAACGCTTCATCCCAGTGGCCGCCTGCCCTCCAAACCCTGAGGCAGAGAGGCACCTGGAACTGGAGATCGACCGTACCATCCAGATGATTCTTCGGGACTTTGTGTCGTCCTGGTATCGCTCAGTGAGCCAGGAGCCAGCCTTTGAGGAAGAAATGGAGGCCGCCATGAAAGGGTTGGTCCAGGAGCTCCGGAGGAGGATGCGCATGGTGGACAGTCATGCCCTTGCCCAGAGGGTTCTGACTCTCTGCGGTTGTCACCTGCAGAGCTATATTCAGGCGAAGGAAGCCCTGGCTGGGAGGCAGAGTGGTACAGTTGAGCCCTCCCAGCTCTGGGAGGCTTACAGCCGAGCTACTGCCCCGCATCCTGCTGTGCAGAGCGCCAGCACTGAGGTCACTTATACACGTGGCATTGTAAATTTGTTGCTTCAAGGACTAGTGCCAAAGCCCCACCTGGAGACCCGGACCGGTCGCCATGTAGTGGTGGAACTCATTACCTGCAATGTAATCTTACCACTGATTAGCAAGCTGTCAGATCCTGACTGGATCCACCTCGCACTTGTGGGCGTCTTTTCCAAGGCCAGAGATAATCCAACAGCAGTGGTTAAACCAACTTCCCCAGCCAGTGCCCTGGAAAAGCCCTCCGTGCCCACATCTCTGCCACTGATTGTTGAGGTACAGAGCCTGCCAGAAGTGAGAGCCCCTTCTCCAGCAGCAGCAGCGCCGGTGCTCCTGAACTGTAATGAGCCAGACCGGCCTTCCCATCACTCCCCAGAAGTTGAAGAAGGCCATGAAGCACTAGAGGGAGAACTGGGTGGAGTGCCAGAAGAAAGAAAAGTAGGAAACAACTCATCTCATTTCCTACAGCCAGATATTCGAGGCCCTTTGTTCTTATGTGAAGACACAGAGCTGGAGTCTCCATTGTCTGAACTGAGCAAGGAAACCATCATGCTCATGACCCCAGGCAACTTCCTCTCTGACAGGATCCAGGATGCCCTGTGTACCCTGGAGGGTCCCCAGTCTCTGGAGTCTAAGGATGTTGAGGGATCCGAAGGAATTGAAGGAGCAGAGGCCGAGCTGGGTCCAGGAACAGAAACAGAGACAGGGCTGCTGGTCTCCTTGCTGACTTCCTGCCCAGAGATCCACATTGACACAGCAGACAAGGAAGTAGAGCAAGGAGATGTCACCTCTCTTAGAGCTTTGCTGACAGATCCAGAAAGGACCTGCCCCCCACGACCCTCATGCTTAGAGAAGGCTCTCACCAATGGTGTGAGCTCCGTAGATCCTAATCTGCCACAGGTTCTGCTTTCCTCCTCTCCACCTGGTCCTCTCAGCTCAGCCACCTTCAGCTTTGAGCCCCTGACCAGTCCAGATGGCCCAGTTGTCATCCAGAACCTTCGTATCACTGGTACCATTACTGCTCGAGAGCACAGTGGCACTGGATTCCACCCATACACACTCTACACGGTGAAGGTAATAGGATTAGAATTATGGTCACCCACTCTGGGCTGGGAATGGGTTTGGAAAACAGCGTCAATGAAGCTAGTATTCTCAGGGAGAGAGGCTACTCTTCATTTACTGTGTTTAATTTGACAAGAATCCATATGTAAATGGTCTGAAGATCATTTGTAAAGCAGAGTTGGCTTCTGTTTAGTATCTATGCAAACAATCCTAGAATCTCAGGGTTCTTAGGATACTGAGGGTCATATTTTTCAGTGCTTCCCAATGTAGAGTCTTGTCCAGAAATTCTCTTACCAAACTTCCCTGTTAATTTCTTTCTTTCCTTTCTTAATTACTAGTGTCTTTTGTACTTTGTTTAGGAAGGAAGTTTATTTACATGTGTATGTAAATATGCATATTTACATATAAATAAATAAATATATATATGTATAATATCTCAGAAGGTACCAGGTTTCTAATTCCTAGAGTTGTTTAAGCGCAGAAGTAGGAACTACTTGGCAGAGATGATATGAAGGTATCATATGTATCATCATGTATCAGGTGGTGAGTTCAGTTACAGCAGCGGCTCCCTAAAACTGGCTTTAGGATAGACTGCCTCCCAATCACCTGAAGAGGGATTTTTGTAAATTCTCATTCAGATCTATCAGAGCCTATCAATCTATTTAAAGAGCAGCCCAATTGATTTTTGAGGTGCAGCCAGGTTTGGGAATGTCTGAGTATCGATTAGTGTCGCTCAGGGAGCAGAATATTCCACAGAAACTCCCAGGTGCCCCAAGTTTGAGAGCCCCACCCTGAATTCTATCTGTGTCTCTTACCTAGGCCTTTCCTTCTCAGTGCTGGTCTGAGGGACTACTACTTTGCGCATGTCAGTTCATAATGAATACTTCTCTCTGGCTCTAGAAAATTTTAAGACAGCCTTAAGCCCCACCAACAAAGAGATCATTTTTTCCGTCACGTGCCCCACAGTATAATACCTCCTCCAGACAATAATGGTAACCTACCCCTAATGAGAACAAGTACATACATAGTTCTTGCACATCATTTCATTACATCTTAACTACTCTGTCAAAAAGTCTACCCTGTACTGAGTTGCAGCTTTCATGCTGTTCAGGGTGTTTGCTCTGGGGGAACATTCAGTACAAGTTGTCTTTTCCCACATACTGGCCCTCTACGCATATGAAGACAGCAAACTTTGACCCCTTACAACATCTCCAGTCTTCGTGTGACTTCCAATCATACAGATGATATGTGCTTAGAAAAAAAAATTTCAGTTTAGCTCCAAAAATAATAATCTGTCCAAAGCAAAATAAAAACACATGTTCCTTTAATGCGTTCCAGGCAAACAAATTATTTTATTCATCAGCTGTTTTGGATTATTTGTTCTTCCCCCCCCCAACTAACATAAATAATCACTGGTCAAGTATAATGGCAAATGGTTATCCTCTTATAACATCCAACCCATAATTTAGGAGTGAAAGAGGTGCTCTTGTGCCTTCTGTTTTATACTCTTTGAGATGTGAAAAATAGTAATAGAGCCATTTTAAGATTCATTTCAGAGCGAGAGAGAGGGAGACAAGCAGGTGGGGCAGAGGGAGAGAGAATCGCAAGCAGACTCCACTCCAAATGTGGAGCCTGACACAGGGCTCGATCCCATGACCATGAGGTCACAACCTGAGCCAAAGCCAACAGACACTTAACCGACTGTGCCACCCAGGAGCCCTATAGCCATTTTTATAAGTAAAGAAAGTGTTTGCAGGAGGGAGTTTTGAGGTGGAAGGAGGGAATGAACAGCAAAACTCATTGCTCTTTCTGGGCCACATATGTTGGGAAACATCTCATTCCTTAATTCAGCAGCCCTGGAAATTTGAGTTATTCATTACAACTCAGAGCAGCAATCACATCTACTAGCTTCAGAAATAGGGGCACCTGGGTGGCTCAGTCAGTTAAGCGTCTGCCTTTGGCTCAGGTCATGATCCCAGGGTCCTGGGATTGAGCCCCACATCGGGCTCCCTACTCAGCGGGAGCCTGCCTCTCTCTCTCCCTCTGCCTGCCACTCTGCCTACTCGTGCACTCTCTCTCTCTCTCTCTCTCTGTTAAATAAGTTTAAAAAGAGAAAAGAAAGAAAAGAAACAATAGGAACGTCTCCCTCCCTTTACCTCTACTCTGCTCTTACTGTGTGGCCATTGAACTGATGCCCTAAACAAATGTGTTCATTCAACAGTATGAGACAGCCCTGGATGGTGAGAACAGCAGTGGCCTGCAGCAGGTGGCCTACCACACTGTGAATCGCCGCTACCGCGAGTTCCTCAATCTGCAGACGCGTCTGGAAGAGAAATCAGATCTCCGAAAGTTCATAAAAAGTCAGGAGTTTCCCCAGCCCGCTTTACACATCTAGCTCCCTGATATGAGAGGCTGGAGGCCTACTATTTGTGGGGAAGGATGGGGGAGGAGAACACAGCATCAAGGGGCCCGTGTTCCCCCAGTTTGCTTTCAGATGTTTTGGGTTTTAGTACTGGCTAGCACTGATCGCATTCTTTCTGAGGCACTTCTTTGCCACTTAATGCTTTGTTCTGGGCCCATCTAGTTTAAGCTTAAGAAACTTTCACATTTCCACCTGTGTCTGTGAGGTAGCATGAGGCGTTAAATCAACTTTTCCACATACACAGAGATGAATTGCTCTAAAAACAGTTTCCAGAAATGCTTGCCATCCTTCCTTTAACAACCAGGCTTTTTGGTTGTTTGCTATTTGATACCCATAAGGCACAGGAACAGTAAGAAAATGTAATAAAATTTACTCTAAAAATAAGCTAGTAAGCAGCTACTTTGTTTAAAAAAAAAAACAACTGATGATCACCCAAATAAACTTTTTAATAAGTTTAGGCATAAGTTGTGGATTTCAGTTATGCATTTTCTTTCTTAATAACAATAGTTACTACTTAACCAAGCTTGAAAACGTATGCCAGGTTGTCTTTTACGCACTTTACACATATTAGCTCATTTAATTCTCCTAAGAGCTTATGAGATAGAGAACTATCATTATCCCCACTTTACAGAGAAAAAAGTCAAAGAAGAATTAGGCATTCTTATAGTAGGGATTGGAGCAAAAATTTAAACTCAGGCACCTAGACTTCAGAGCCCTCATTTGTAACTACCGTAGCATATGGCCTCCTACACCTTAGCGTGAACACTGATAACGAGAGTAGATTGTATGTACTATATCCTTGGGGTATATTTGGAACTCCTGAAATAAAAAAATCTCAGGAATATATTCAACAGTTCTGTTTTCTTTACGTATATGATGTATTTTATATGGAATATCTCTCAGTGAATGTAAAGTGAATGAGTTTGTGTTTTTGTTTTTTTTTTAAGATGTGAAGGGTCCTAAAAAGCTCTTTCCGGACCTTCCATTTGGAAACATGGATAGTGACAGAGTAGAAGCCCGAAAGAGCCTCCTAGAATCCTTTCTAAAGGTCAGCATCCTTCTGTTTCGACTGTGCTCTCATTCTAATTATCAGATACCCAAGCCAAGTTGGAGAGACTTGGGGACCAGAATTTCTCTTTGAAATCCTTCTTGTGTCTTTTGCAGCAACTCTGTGCCATTCCAGAGATCGCTAACAGTGAGGAGATGCAGGAGTTCCTTGCTCTGAACACAGATGCTCGTATTGCCTTTGTCAAGAAACCATTCATGGTGTCCAGAATAGACAAGGTACCAGCAGGGCCACTGTGTGCGCTCAGCTTTAGTTTCTCACCAGAGTGTAGGCAGTGATTGAAAAATAAAGGAAGTAGCGGGTACAGAGAGAAAGCAGAGAGGAGTCCATAGAACGTGGACTAGAATTTTTAAGACCTGTTGCAAATATTGGTTGGACCATCACCTTGCTGAATTACAGTGAGCAAGTCTGACACTATATGTGTACACTTACCTCCTGGGGGATATTATGACATTGTTATTCTAGCGGAGGAAGGTGAAGATAGATCTGTACCTCCATAGATCGGTGGGGGCAGGAAAGTTTCTCCTGGGGATAAAGATCATTCCTGGCGTTGGTCACTCAGGAAGAAGAGCCCCAAGACAGGACACTAAGCTTGATTTAGACTGGTATAGTCTAAATCTCTGCTGGAGAACAGAGCATGGAAAGAACTACACTTTTTTTGAGAGGGTGTCTCAGAACCTTTGGAGACGGTAGGAGAAGGACATTTGTGCAACACGTATCCTGTAAGCAGTGATTACCAGCTGATTTTAGAGTCTCCAGGGCACAAGTCTGCAGTTTATGTTTATCCAAAGATGGCATATGTTTTAAAAGGTTAGAAAACACTGACTCATTGGCAGAAGGCGGGCCTCTCTCTAGACTTCAGAGGATAAAATGAAAAAGTGGAATTTCATGTGGTAGGAATTAGGAGACATGCACTGCTGTGAGGAAAAAGCTGCAAACTGGAAAGGGATGAATGAAGTAGAATCCCCAGAATTCCATGCAGATGTGTCCATCCACACAGATGTGTTCACTCACTGACTCACCAGCCACTTAACTGCTTGCCTGGTCAAGTACGAGCTTGACCATGAACAGGACTAGCTGCTGGTGATACAGCAATGAACAGAGCAGACAAGGACCCTCCCCACAGACTACAATTTGGTGAGCCTTGAGAGCAAGTTATGTTTTCTAAGCTGCGTTATCTATTCATGCGGTCCTCTGTGTTCTTTCCCTGGTTTGTTATCCCCTATGCTTTACTGTCATCTTGCTCTGACACTTCAGCCTTGTCTCAGCTGTGCTGGCTCTACTCCTTGTAGAGAGTGAACACAGACGTGAATTAAGGAAGGCATGATGCTGCTCTGAGCCGGCAGTGTTAATTAGCAAGGAGCACCAAAAGAGAAGTAAAGATTTCTTCTCATTTCTTTGGTATTTTAGGGTTTCATTTGTACATTTTATATGTACATTTTATATCTATATGCCATTTTTCCATTCTGAGAAATACAACTCTTACTCTTCAGTGAGGATTGTTTTATTTGGTCTTTATGAGTAGTTTATATCAAATTCAGATTCCTAAATTTTGACATGAGTGATTTTTGTTACTCTTTCTGTAAAGAAGAGAAATTGTTTGGATTAACTGGAAAAACCAGTTCTTTACTCTGTGAATTTACTCTGAACATGTTAATATTATATATACTTCTAGAAGGTATTTCTCATTTGATAATCTTTACTCTTTCTCTTTTCCATATATTCCTACCTATATCACTTCCATTTATTCAGATCTTGGTGAAAGTATTATTGATTTGGAAATTAAAAATCATTCTTTCATATACAAGGAAAGAAATTGAAAAATGAAAAGTATTTCACCAGCCTGCAGAACTCCCAGCTTTTTATTTATCTCACTGTTTTGGTTTCTTTTCCCATGACATTGTTTGTCTTAACTCTGTGAGGAAGCAGATTTTTATGGCCATCGAGAAAGGGGGGGATAGTTGCCAGTAAATGTGCCTGGTATCTGACTGTGCTGATGAAAAGTCTCCACTAGCTACCCTAGCTATCTGCTCATCTTCATTGCATAAAGCACCATGAGACAACTGCTCATTTGGTGGTTTCTGTCTGACCCTGCACCTCTGACCCCTGCAGATGGTGGTAAGTGCTATCGTGGACACCTTGAAGACAGCATTTCCTCGCTCCGAACCCCAAAGCCCCACAGAAGAGCTGAGTGAGGCCGAGACAGAAAGCAAGCCCCAGACAGAAGGCAAGAAGCCTAGCAAGTGAGAAGCCCTTCAGTCACCCGGGGACCCTTTCCAGTTCTCAGGGTGATTGCCAGTCCTAAGCCAAAGCCTATCCCCACTCTCCAGCCCTAAGAGAGAGGAGATGGGTCATACATACCAGTTTTTATACAAAGCCAGACCTACACTCCTCAATCCTCAACCCAAAGGAGCCTGAGATCCAGCATAGGCATCCCTGCTGAATGTCTTGCCATGGGAACCCAGAACTTAAACTGACCAGGGAATTTTGACTAGAAGGAAAACTATAGAATATGGATATTCTCCTTTTCTATTTTCCTGGAAAATTGAGGTGTTTCTTTCCTATTAAGAATTAAGGCTTATAACTGATCTCTGTTTGTCATCATTTCTGGAAATCTTAGCTCAGAAGATGCACGTACTAGCAATAAACAGGAAAGGGCCAGAATAAACATGCGTAGGGCCTATTTTAGCCTATTCTGTCCTGCACTAGAGTCCCACATACACCCTTTCAAAGCGAACATTTGGAAAGGAAGGACACCACACTTAACCCTTACTGTAAACTTCATATCTGTATCTGGACCGTTATGAAGAGAAAGAGTGAGTGAGTGAAAGAGAGAGAGAGAGAGAGAGTGTGTGTGTGTGTGTGTGTGTTGGGGGGGTGGAGAGTTTGTATGTTTGTGTCTGTATGTCTGACTGACTGTCTTTGTCTCTGTGTTCATGTCTCATGGACCAGCAATAAAACAATTTTTAGCCTTTTTTTACTGAGCCCATATTTTGAAGAGTGACCGTGATATCTGTGCTTTTAAGAGCCTTGAACATGAGGTTAGCACTTGTGGTCCCTTCCCTACTTTTATTTGGAACACTAGGAGAATAAGTGGATGTATGAAAAGGGTACTAACAACAACAAAAACCTTGGTTTATGCCACTTGTCAATTTAATCTCCAACATATTTTTAATGAGTATGTAGTATATGCTCACCATTCTTTTAACTTATGGGAATACAACCATGATAGACTGGTCCCTGTTTTACATTAACAAAAGCCCTTTCCCAAATGCATCGTGGACACAGCTTAGTGCAATGGTTGTACTATTTATAAAGAATTGCCAGAATGTATATCGTTTTGGGAATTTCAGGGCCAGGTCTTTCCTGGCAACTCTGACCACAGTAAACTCCCAAGAATAAGTATGGGTGTTCTTGTTTTAAAGCATTAATACTTGTCAGCCCTTGTTTGGAGATCAAAACCATGAATCATGTTCTGTTTCTGCTCTTTGTATCAATACCAGGTCCAGATTGAGGTTCTCCTCCAGTAAGATTGCTCCAGCACTGACTATAACTGAGGCACCTGAGAAGATTCTCTATTGTCTCCAGGAAGGCAATGTGGTAAGAATTTCCTAGGTAACTCCTGGAATTAATAGCTGGGATGTTGATACTGCAGTTACGGACAATTGAGACATTCTCCAAAGTCAGGAGAGATGTAGGTGCCTTGCTAAAGGACTTAACCAGCATCTGGATCTCTAATTTTTATTCTAAAAGTATTTTCTCTTAGTGGTTTCTAATTCCTACCCACTCTGGGCCAGTAGGTTGGCTTCTCAAGGGTCATGGCCTTGGAATAAAGGATGGCAGAATGAGAAGGACAGCCAGTTCTTGGGAGAGAACAGATGACCCAAATGTATTTGCAGTGAGTGAGAATAAAAAAGGCACTGTTTTACTTGCAACTTAGGTAGAAAGTGAAAATTTTCTGAAGGTGGTCACAGAGTACGTTGCGTTCTGTACTCATGATACTGATGCAGGGAAGGAACAGGGAAAAGCTGAAGGGCCACGGTTACTCTCCTGTTTTCTTCATTCTTTATGTGATGTGCCGCTGGCTCTTTCTAGGAGTCAGAAATCCTATCCATGTCTGGGATGGAATCCTTTATTGAAAAACAGACAAAGTTATTAGAAATGCAGCCAGCAGAAGCCCCAGAAAAAGATCCTGAACAAATCCCCAAAGATTGTACGGATGGTTACTTGTCAGATGCAGCTGTGCCGGCCCGAGACCTCAGCAACGGTGATCCAGGTACGTGACAAGATCTCCGCTCCCACAGAGAAGGGAGGTAGGATGTGATCATTGGGAGTTGTTGATGTAATTTCTCTTGTGTTCAGCTAAGCAAGCCATGTGTTAAACACCAGTGTTTGAGGTGCTGTGTCGAGTCCTGGGATACAAAGAAGAATTTGACACGGTCCCCAGAGCTGAGTCAAACAGAGGAGCAGGGCACAAAAATGGGAAGTTCTGGTCCAGCAAAATAAGATCCATGCTTATCATATCATTATCTTATTTATGTTATTTTTGCCATGCTTTGGCATTTTTGGACTACTCTCTTTACAAACTTTCTTTCGTGTCTGTGGTACCCCTTTCCTGGTTTTCTCTCCACCTCTCCTGTGGTCCCTTGTCAGTCCCTTTTGTTGGTTCCCTTACTAGCCTTCCAGAACTTTATTTTTGGCGCTCTGTTCTTACCCTGCATACTACCCTGAGTGATCTCATTTGTACTCTTGATTTTAAATCTAACATGTGCTGACGATGCTTAAATATTGGATGTCGTATTTCCAGTTGCTTACCGGAAATCTCCACTTAGATATACCATAGGGCAACTGAAGTACAACATGGAATTCTTCCTTTTCCCTGGATCTTTTCCTTCTGTTTTATTTACTGCCATAGCAAATGACGCCACCTAGTTCCCCAACATAGAGCAGGAAGGGAGAAGAGGTGAGGACAGGGAGGTTTGCTTCCCAGAAGAAGTGCAGATGTTTTTTTTACAGAGGAAAAAGTGGGAGCCTTGGATATTAGTATGCTTGCTGAGCTAGAACGTATAAAAAGGTTTTTCAGTTCCACCAAGACAGAGGCTCCCACTGAAAAGAAAAGATCACAAAACCCGGGGTTCAGAAGGGGAAGAAAAAAAAAAAAAAAGGCTGATTTCAGCATTGTTTCTCAGGTGCCCTTGAACGACGTCACCTGACCTCTACTGTATGGACCTCAGCTTAACTGTGTGAAAAATGAAGTTCACAACCCCACCTCTTCCCACATATCTCACTGGTTAAGTAAATGAAGTGTTAGGACCGCAAAAGCGTCAGAGAACTATAGGAAGTTACAAATAAGAGGAAATGGGTAAAACAGTATAATTCTAGCCAAAGTCAAGCCTGTAAATTTTGAACATCATATCTCTAAGGGTATAGTTTATGCCTGAGCTTTTCTTCTAGCCCTGAGAAACTCATAATGCTCACATGACAGGAAATTTACCATTTTCTTCAGAGGACTCAGTGCCTCATTTTGCTTTATTTTTTACTGCTATGACTAGCTGTCACCACATGGTGGCAGCTCTAGGTAAACGCTAAACCTGAGAAAATCATAAAATCCACAAGGGTGGCTGATGCTCAGGATGGTGCTGTTTCCTAAGGAATTGAATATCCTGTCTTTGAGCAAATGATTGGAAAGAAAACATATCAGTTCCCATGCCCCCTTGAAAAGCAGCGCAGAAAAGATATATATATTAGATGGGATTAAGAAAAAAGTAGGATTCGGTTCTGGAAGATTCATCCAAATCTGAAGTTACTAAATGTCCTAAAGAATTCTTCAGGGAGGAGAGCTTGGGCAAGCTGGCCGAGACAATACGCATTTGTCCTAGACTAACAAAATTACTGTTGATGATTAATTATGATATTAATCACAGTAGTAGCACCAGATTGCTGAGATTCATTCTGAAACATTATGTATTCCTGGGGACATCTCCTGGGAAGCAAATCACAGATGACAAGGGACCCCCTGAACGGGGTTAAAAGAACAGATGCTTCCATCCATAAAGTACATCTGTTCAGGAGACTTCAGCTTAGCATGCATGTGAAGTCACTTGTGGTCTTTCCAGTCTTTGAAAGAGGAAAGAAATCAGTCATTGTTATGGCATATTTTACCAAAGGTAGAGTGCTCTTCCTCCAACCACATGTTCTCTCAAAACCAGACTGAAGCCTTCTGGATCCCAACCCAACAGCTCTGTGTAATGGAGATGCTTTCAAAGCAACTTGTTTACGGGAGAATGAATCCCAAAACTTTCCCCAAATCTGCTGCCCACAACATTTCCATGATGTTTTGTGGAGGCCAGTGGAATATAAAGATGGAAGAGACTGGGCCTTGCCAGTTCCAGTTAGTCACTAGTTGGGAGCAGTTACTTGGAACAGAATGTATTTAGTTTCCCGGGGAAAATACAAAAACAGAAGCTAGATAGGTAAAATAATTATATGCAAAATCATTTAGAAGGATAAGTATTACTGAGTGACTAAGGAATATAAACAAAGAATTATAAAGAAATACAGAGCCTATCACTGAACTTTTTAGATATAAACATCTCTTGATTTAAGTACAGAAGAATTACAGAAATACAAGATGACTGATATAAAGGTGAAGATCCAGTGCATTGAAATATGTTCCTCCAGAATGGGTCTCTTCTGAGTTACTTTTGATGCCTTTTCATACCCCAGGAGCAGAGACAGAGCTCGCTGACACAGCCCTAGATCTGCTCCTCTTGCTGCTGATGGAGCAGTGGAGATGGCTATGTACAGAAAACATGCAGAAAGTTCTTCATCTTATGTTTGGGACCCTAGTTCAGAGGTAAGATGGCAGAGTTCTCCATTGTATTAGAGTCTCAAGTTGGACAGGGGTTAGATGTGATGCTGAATTCTGCACTGGAGAGGGAAAGTGTAGAATCCAGGAAACCTGCAGCCATAAGGAAAGACAGAGACCCTGTCATAGGTGCACAGGGATGAAGACTGCCTGAAGAGTACCAAAAGGCTTGTGTTAATCACCTCATCATCTAAAGTATAAATGGGTCTGCTTCTGTAAGACTTCTGGCATAATCCACTGAGTTATAGACACTGCCTCTGATCTTAAAACACTTCACCTCAACTCTTCCTGCTCGGGGATCAGTTCTCCACCCAGTTATACCCCCAACCCCTATACCTTTCACCTCGTTAAACTTGACATTTCTCTTCACTGACAGTATATATTTACTGTGATGATAAACAATGAGACAAGAAGAAAACAGATCAGTGCTCTGAAAATAAAGATTGTTTTCTCCAAAAGGTGTGTAAATATTCACAATTAAAGAAGTACTTACACAGGATGGTAAGGAATAAAAGTATACTTAGATATAAAATGTGGACTGTGATCCCAACACCACTTGCATCTCCTGAAAGGTCTGCACATGGATGGAGTTTTTAGGTGCTAACTTCCTAACCATGAAACTGACACAAACTTTGCTAAACTCAGGATGGCCAGAGACACGGTTTCAGAACCAGACAGATATAAACAGTGCTTGCTTGTGTTTTGACCATTCTTGTTTTGATTTCTCTCTTTTGAGACATCCTGGCAGGTCCTAAAGTAACAAGAAGCCCAATTCTGACCTCTTCTGTTAGCATATGGTTCATGATAATAGGTCATACCAAGAAGAAAAACTGTTTTTAAAAACAGAATTATGTGTCAGTTCTACAAGTAGAAAATCCATTAACAAGGAGCAAGTAAATCTTCCCTCCTACTCTCAGAGTTACTTAAGATCAGGGAAGCTTAAGGAGCTTTAATAATAAAAAGACCTAGTGAAAGAAGAGGATGCACTTTCATATTTGCTGAGCGCTCATCATATGCCAGCACCTGACCTCTGTGTACATACATTTTCTTGTAGCAGCCAAGTGAGGTAGGTAGCCCATTTTATAGAATAAAATAGAGGTTGGTAAGGTCAGCTAGCATACCCAAGGTCATAGTTAATGACACCTGCGCTTTGAAGCTAGATGTGTGTAACTCCAAAGCCAATGTGCTTTTTCCTACATGTTGTAGCTGACAACTGGTCTCCAAGCGAAACCCACATATAAAATGCTGACTAGTCTCTATGCCATTTGACTTTCCCCTTTGTCCCTCCTCCATACTCAACTCTGCCACTAGAGTGCTTTTTCCGAAAAGCAAATATGAACATATAGTCCACACTTAATATCCTTCAGTGGTGCCCTCTTGCCTACAAAAGTGATTTTTCCACTGTTTCCCAGAGTTCTAGGGTTCCACAGAGGTGCTTTAGAAGCTAAGGCGAAAACTGAGTGGACAGTGATCTAATCAAAGAAATTTCATTTTGGTCAGTGTAATAGGCTAGGGATCTGGGTAATTTTTTGTTTGAAAAAGGGCTCCACTGTGCTTAAAATATATATTTATTATATTAAAATTTCAGCTCCTTTCTTATGTGACATGGTTTGGTCCCAGCCTTATTTCTAATTCTCCCCCATGCAAACCATTCATCGTGACCTGAACACTCAGTGGTCTCTCTTCCTTCAGGCCTTTGTTCATCCTCTTACCTCTACCAGAATGGTCTTTCTCTGTTCATTCTTCTCCTACTCATTCTATCTCATGTCTCTCTCGTTCTGTCTCCTTCCCTATGTCCAAAACTCTCCCTCTTGTCTGCTTGGCCTACTGCTAAATATTTTTCAAAAATTAAGCATTAAATGTCATTTATTCTGAAACTTTTTTGTGGTATCCTCTCCCACCTTCCCCCAGAACTAAGGAGCCCTCTTTTCTACTTTCAAAGTTGTGATGATTATACTTATCACAGTGTATTAGAGAAATGATATTCTTTCCCTAAACCAGTAGTCCTCACATGGGGGGCAATTTTCTCCCAGGGGTATTTGGCAATATCTGGAGATATTTTTGGTTGTCACAACTGCGAAGGGAGGCGGGAAGTTATTTCATCTAGTGCGTAGAGGCCAGGGATGCTGCTGAACATCCTACACTACACAGGACAGCATTCTCCCCACCCCCCCAAACAACAATGAATCATCCTACCCAAAATATCAACAGTGCAGAGGTTGAGAAACTTTGCCCTAGACTACCAGTTCTTTAAGGAGTAGACCTGGCTATATATCCCCAGCAACTTACACAGGACCCAGGACATAGAAGATGCTCATTAAATGTTAGATAAAAGAACAAACATTTCCTTTCTCATTACCTTCAAACTTGAAGTAGAGTCTCTCTGTTTTTATTCAGTCATCTGTGAATGTTGCTCACTGAGCCTTCATTTCTTTCTTCCTCTATTAAGTTTCCCCTTGCTGATCTTCCAAGTGCTTTCCCAAAACTGGAAGATTCTAAAACTAGCTAGTATGTGATAATTGATTACCCCCTGTCCTTGAAGTCATTTACATGATGAATTGGTTTCAAAACACAAGAAATTATTCAGTAGGAACAGAAAAGTATAGGTGAGTCAGGAGAAATTTTTAAAAGATTAAGATTCAGGTAGGAAGAAGTTTACCTAAAGTTTGAACAACTCAGAATATTAAAGGGCTTGAGCAAGTTAACAGGTAAGGAAAGAGAAATATATTTGGGAATTATAGGCAGATCATTGAAGAAGTAGTATTTTACATAGTTAGGGTTCTATGGGAAATTAAATATAAGGGAATTTCTGATTGAGAATTCTAAGCCAGATTGCATTTACCTCAGTGGGCGATGATTATAAATTCTCTAGGGATAAGGAAGAGACAAAGATAAAGTGGAGCGGGTGGGATGTGCAGAAGTAAATATATTGTGCCCTCTGGTATGAGCATACTAGTAGACAGTTGTCCAGGCTGTTTGTAGCATTCATCCACTTTACCTTGAAATACTCTTACCTCTCTGTCCAGCTGGGAAATTGTTTTGGTCTGACTCCTTTATTCACCGGGCTGGTCAGTAGGAATGAAACAGACTCAGTCCCTACTTTTCACATTTTGTACAGTTTCATGGTGGTTAAAGCTGAGGGCCTTATCCATGATCATTAAGCTAATGCGTGGTGGAGCCAGAAATCAAACCCAGGTATTCCAAAGCCCAGGTTCTTATCTACATTATATACTACTTCTCTGCTATGATTAATCTCTCTGAGCTTTGGTTTCCTCATCTGGAAAATAAGAATAATAATAGTATCGATCTGTTTAGGTTCATAAAAAGTGTCCAAGTAGATATTAGGTCTTAATATTTGCACTTCAGAAAAAGGAAAGAAGGATAAAAAGTATTTTCTTTTTCTAATTGCTCCAGCTAGTGGCCCGAAATTTGCTCTACTTTTATGTCTTCAGGATGACTTGTGTCTTCAGGATGACCCACTCTATACCAGTCTCGTCCCGTAGCTACCACTGTCCCCACTATGCCTGTCTGTGAGTTACACAGAATAGAGCTCCTAAACAATAGAGACTTTGTAAGGCCTTTCAAGGTGACTTTGTGCCAGTGGGCTCATTTGTTAAAGCAACAACCAGAGTGTTCCCGTGTCTTACATCGGGAAGCAGACTACCTGCGTCTCTTTCCAGCATAGACAAGCATAGGTTAAGTACAGAGTTCAGTATTTTCCAGGATTACTAGTGCTCCTGGTTACATGGGTGGGGAGAGCTGCTGGAATCAAGTAGTGCCTTTCCTCATGAAAAGAACTTTGAATCAAGCTAAGTTTTATCCTTCATGTCCCCATCTGTTGACACTTCCACTAGAACCACGCTTCTGGTTAGCTGGGTACATAGCTGTCAGGTGAATGAAAACGAGCAAAACCCACGGGTAGCTCACACCATAAGCAAAATCAGGGAGAGGGCTTACAGCTAAATTTCCCTCGACTTTCCTTTTACTTTTTTTTTTTTTAAATGAGGTGGCATCTCTTTGTTAAAGGAGGGAAATTCTGGATGTATATAGTGAATTTGAATGAAGCCAGTATGAATCTTGTGCAAGAACAGAATATTGTGGCTCTTACTTTTGGAAAACTCTTTGTAACTGTGGTCTGTTATAAATTTTTCCAGGTGATGATATTTTGTACTTATTCAGTTGTCTAATATCCCTTCCTGTCAAAAAGGTCTTACTTATTTCTAACCAAATTTTATCCTTAAGTCGATTTTGTTTTGTGTTAGCTGCAATAGAAATAGGAACACAGCCGGCTGACACCCTTCTCACCCTGAGTCTCCACAGACTAGAACTAAGAGTCTTATCCTTCCCTGGTCAAGGCCTTTCATCTTTCCCTAGAAATCATTCCATCTTTTTAATGATATATAAACATGACCCTCTTCTCAAATATCTTGTGCTGGGTTCACAGTGCTCTTGAAGCTTTTTTACAATAGGAGTCAAGAAGAAACCATGGCTATCTGGAAAAAGAATCCCAATTCCCCTTCCAGAGGCATGAAGGATCTGTGGTCTGTGGTCTCGTACCAGCAAGTTCCCCTGTGTGTGGTAGACACGGAAAAGACAGGGCTTATTTCAGGACTCAAATTGTAGACATTGATCACATTGTCACCTTCAGGATATTTAGTATCCAGCAAACCTTTGTTGAGAGTTTACTTTGTGCAGACACTGTGCTGAACACACAAGCGTATTGTATCACTTAATCCCCTCAAAAGCCCTGTGAAAGAGGTATTATGATCCCCATTTCAAAGATGAGGAAGCTGAGGCCTCCAAAGAATTGTGGTTATTTAATCCAGATCACAGAGCTAGTAAGTATGCCACAGGCAGAATTCGAACCCATGTTCATGTGATTTTCAGCTATAATGACTTTATCTTTCATGGATTGCCCTGGGATTTGAAGGGATTAAAAACCAACAGATATCTTTGCCTCAGAGTAGTCTACATTCCTCAAGAGGAGA